TAACATATTCTCACCACTAAAATATAACAAATATTTAAATACTGTCTGTAGTTTACGCGAGGAGTACACATTTAAATAAAACACATTAACGGTTTGAAACGCAATATTTATTACTTAAACTTATTTAAAAATTATTTTCAACTTCAGTCCGACATTTCGGATTTGCAGTGGTCATGGGGAGACAACTGCTCACAGACGTCGGACACACGTAACTTATATATATCGTGTTTTAAACCATTAAAGTGTTTTGTTTAAATATGTAAATCCTACGTTTTAAATTTATGAATGTCTTTTAAGTTAAATTGAGAGTCAAATTATTTTCTGTAAAGATTTTTTTTAAACGTATACTATTTTTTAGGTTGTATAATATATGTAATTAAATAAAAACAATATTTCACTAATAACACTGTAGGAAATCCTTATTCGTCGGTTGAATTTTCAATTTTATTGCGCGCCGCAGCTACAAAACGGTCACTGCGATGGATCAGCAGTTGAGCGGTCTGTTGTGATGACGGTGACAATCTATATATATTACTAGTAGTGCCTGAGATTAGCGCGTTCAAACATTTTCAGTTTTATATATTAGTATAGATTAAGTTTACGCTTCCAATATTATGATCGGAGTAATACAATTTCCTGTATATTTTTTCGTTTTACTGTTTAAATTAAAAAATAACAACAGCAGTTAGAGTTAACAGGGCAAATATTTTATTTCATTATTTACAACCTCAATGTTTAAAAAGATTCCGAGCTTAATTGCATAAAAATTTGAATCCGCGGTGTAAATAAAAAGGCACCTTCGGATGTAGGATCCTAAACAAATTCGAAGGGCAAAAATACCAAACATTTACGGATTTAATTACATTATTTGTTTATTAAATGTATACTCTACAAAAGGCTATTTAAGAACTAAACTATTTAAACTACGAAAAAATTGAAATTTCATACGTATGAAATAGTCGGGTCATGGGTTATATTTTTATCGGTCCTTGCAAGGTTAAAAAAATGTAAATATACTATATCGGACGTCGCGATAACTGTACATCAGGTAAGAATTTCAATGCGTTGTCTATTGCTTAAAACATCTCCTGATGATGCCGTCCGCCACCGATGCCAAAACATCGAGAAACTCGCTCACGTTAGCCGAACAGCCCGAAAGAAAATAATATGCTGAACGATTGCCGTAAAAGCCTTGCACAATTTATGTATATACTATTAGTAGAATAATGGTGTAAGTAATATAAAAAGGTCGAATAAACTAATTCACCTCTAGCTAAGTCAACATAATAAAGACGCCGTTCTATCGCACATATTCTATTTAAAGAGAATTTTCATTCTTCGCTTCCCAATGTGACTTTCATTACTTTTTCTTGTATACGTGTCTTGGGGCTTCTTTGTCATAATAAACGGGTAAGACGGGTCGTATGTGAGGAAGTTCAAATTAGAGCCATATATTGTGTGTAATGTTCAATTTTATCCTTTTGGTATTGAATTTCTGCCTTTTTAGCTAGTACTAAAATACCAACAATCTGTGCTGAAAGTGGAAAGACTTGAAATATTCAAATTATTGCTATAAAAGTAGATTTGTAACTACTCTACTTTTTAATGGCTATTGTAAATTAACCAATACTAAGTCTGTGGTTTACGCGAGTAGTAGGTACCTGCACATTCAAAAAATTGTAAAGACACAAAATTGTAAAAATACAAAATTTCGGGTTTTAAATCAATACTAACAAAAACTTATGTGATATCAGTAGAGTACTCAATCTAAAAAATCTACTTTTTAACAGAACTACGAAAGGCTTGAAAAGCAATAATAACGTTTTATTTTAATAATAATTATTAGTCTTAATAATCAGTAACTCATGTTATTATTATAGCTTGTATATAAGTTGTAACCATGAAGTTCCCTCTATCATAGAGTAGAATATGCTTCACACCGCATCTCGTTTAGATGCTAAAGGCTGTGGTATATCTATCATTAAAAAAATCGCTTAGTAGAGGAACGCGTAACTTCCCAGTATCTTCGTCGAATAAAACGTCCCGAAAAAATTCTTAAGCTTCGAAAAATGTCCGCGAAAGCCTTTTCCAGTTAATAGAAGGGAATAAGTTTTTAACGAAACTCAATTTCCTATATTAGCGTTCTCATGAAATCGAAAAAACGTCCCGAAATATTGTTAGGAAAACTGAGGCTACGAAAAAAAGTTTTAGTTGATTCGAGCTAATCAAAGCGAAATTACTTTCCCATTCCACGACGTACTAAGACAAACAAATTCGAAGATTGAACTTTAACGCTATGTATTTTGATCTCGATTGCTCCAAAAGTTTTGATGAAGAAACAATGAGTAATTGAGGAAATTGGGAATTTGTAAATCATAAATATTTATTATGCTTAACTGGCGAGTGTTGCTTCCAATGATAGGATACAATTTTAAAACCAATTCCTCTGAGATAATTCTAATGCCATTAGAATGATCTAAAAGACTTAATGGATCAAGTATATAACTTCTATTTGAGGTAATCTATACGTACTATGTAGGAGGTAAATTTATTTTCGCTTTTATAAGTCGGTTATTTCTTGTTACAATTTATTTTAAAATTCTTTTTCTTCCGCTGAAATTACTTTACACATTGACATTTTAAAAAGTTTAAAACGCAAAAAATATTTGTTAATTTTTTTTGTAATAATTAATAATTTTTAACTACGACTGGACTTTTGCGTTATGGAGACTAAAAACGGGGGGTAGCTTCTGTAAAAGGCAAATCTTTTACGTTAGCGCCACCTGTTTCTTCGTAATCGATACAGGCAGAAACTAGGTAAATTCTTAAAGAACCCATTCACGGTGCTCGTTTTCTATGTGCGGTATTTGGTCATTTATTTATCGTTACTGGATACTGTATGTTTGAAAACTAAAATTAACTATATACGGAACGGTCACACCTTGGTTTTACACCTTTATATACTGTCAACTGTCATAAATCGAAAAGCTCTCTACAATGTAAACTTTACAAAGCAATTTCCGTAGTTTGACAGTGATATGTATTGACTTTTGTTTATAATATACAGTTACCTAAAACGACAATACTCCGTCCTGATTTCGTATAACAACTCGATGTCAATAGTGGACAGTTTATTGTAGGATGAATGGCACGATGACAATGTCATGAGATATAGTGAAACGAGTAAATAAAAATGACACAACTAAACTAGAAAAACATATAATTATTGAAATATATTATTTTATGATAGAGTACAGACAAGCATCGGTTCTGGGTTCGAATGGCAGGTGAACAAAAAATTGTTTCGGTCGGGCAGGGCACAGAAGTCTGAAGAACGGATCAATGAAACGGACACAGAAATGTGTTCGCCCCATGCCCCACGAGGAGGAAACGTGTTTTAACTACTAACAACTACAGACAAGCATGGCGTTGATGGAAGGCAAAATATCCCAGCCATATGACATCTTAACAGAATGCGACGTCGACCTATTTTGGCTTTGAATATTTGGAACGAATGAACGAAATGCGATTAAACTTCACGGCATTTCGACCTGTTTTGATGGTTCGAGATCTGGACGGAATTCGATATTCCTACTACTTGTTTAATATCCAGATTAAATACTGTCTATAGTTTACGCGAGTAGTACACATTTAAATAAAACACTTTAACGGTTTAAAACGCGATATATTAGTTAAACTTATTTGAAAATGATTTTTAACTTCGGCCCGACGTTTCGGATGCTTTGCAGCAGCCGTGGTCACGGGGAGACTAAAGATGGAATATCCAGATTTTCAAAGACAAGGTTTTATGAAAAATTATAAATTATGTAATTATAAACATGTCGGACCGGGTGGGAAACAAACCCACGACCCCTTGATTTTTAGATGTAAATAGAGCTACTATTACCAACGACAAGTCAATAATATTAATGTTAGGTATAATATTTAGCCGTAGTTATTAAAGCTCGAATAGAGTACGTGATTCGAATGCGGTCCACGATTTTATTATTCTATCTCCGAAGAGTTCGTATTATCATTTCGATATCTCTACTCACCCAATGAAGGCGAAAGATAATTCCGTGATATTTTTCATGACATAGAAGGACAGAGAAGCATACCGTTCACTGGATGCCAATTGGAAGATCCAGATCTGAAACATTTTTTGACTTTGCACATTCGAAAATCTACAGACTACAACCGAAACGCGGTTTTATATTTTACGACTTACCACCCGTTATAAGGGGTATGTGCGGACGAAATTTTGATATTCTATCAGCCTTTTATCGTCAAGACTTTTTTTTAATTCTATACGACTTTTTTATCATAGGAACAACAATTCCGTATTTAAGTAATATTGTATCTTAGACAGGGATTAACCTAGATTTTACTTTAAAGCCGTAAATTTATTTGGTAGGACTTAAAATAATCTAGAATTGGTGGCTATAAAATATTCTGAAAAATCCGGGCTACATATGTATAAATTGAAAACAAGGGTTTAAAGTTTACTAATTCCAGTTTTTTACAGAATGGGTGCTACAGTTAAATAAAAGGGCAAGATGTTGTCTTATAAATAGTATATTTTATAAGTACATAATTCATTTTTTTATGGCAAGAGGCTATAGAATATACTACATCCAGCAATATATACATGTGCTAGGATTATAATTAATTTACTGTTCAACTTCAATATGTATAGTAAAAGTTCCTTATCAAATAAAAAAAGTTAAAATGCAAAAAATTATTGAAATACCATAATTATAAATTTTATATACATGGCAATGATTTAAAAAATATACAACCTCATCCTAAAAGGGTGTGTCAACATTAAAATAAGGACGTTTGACTACATTTTGTTACAAATTGTTTACAACATGCGTGCATTGATACTTAAATATCACCTTATAATGTAAAGAATTTTTTAATTACCACAATTCAGTAGTTCAAAAGGTCCAAATGTGGTATTAAATACATTTTCATTTTGAGTTACAGTGTCTGTAATGCTACTCCGTAAGGACAGCCATAGCCATTTCCTTAGATATACTATCCGACATGCTATTCCGTTTATCTACCTCTTGTTCATCATTTGACCACCAACTCTCATCATCATCATGAATAAAACATAAAAAGAGATCATCTTCATATGTAGGAAAGTAATATTCCGGTTGGTCCCACTTTTCCTTCCTTAGAGTCCAGTGGTTTGTTTCCTTTACGTGTTTTTCTAAATTTTTTCTATCATCAAACTTTGTATCACACGACAGACACTGTTTCAAATGTATTTGACGTCTGATGTAATTTACAATTTTAACTTTCTGATAGAAGTCCATGCCGGCTGTTGATTTAGTAAAGTAGAACTCGTGTTGCCGCTCCATGTGATCCAAAATATTCTCATATTCCATTTCAGTGTGTTCACAAAGAAGACATGTTATTAATGGACCATTCTCTTCTGTCCATTCTGACCATTCTGGATCACTGTCTATAGTAGAATCATTATCATCAATTTTTTTTACTTTTGGATATGACTTTTGTGCCGGTTTTGTGTCACCTATATAATTGACTATGAAGAATTTATCATAAGATTTATTGTTTGGGTTGATTCTTTTATGTCCCTTTTTACGCATATGTTCTTTGAGTATGGTCCTATCCTTAAATAGCCCTTCACAGTATATACACTGTAGTCCTTCCAGTTTTGATGCTAAAAAATCTACAAGATCATCAACAAAGATCAAGTTGTCAGATTTTGCAATGTGGAAATTGTGTTTTTCATATAAATGATTTAGATAACTGGCTCGAGTATCTTTAGAAACATAACGACAAAATAAACATTCTTTGATATAGTTTTTATCTTCTCTTTCAAAAGCTTGCCTGTCTAGAAGCTTTTCAAGTTTTGATTGCCGAAGATTTGACCTCAACTCCTTATCTTCTGGTAAAACGTCACTTAAAAGGAAGTATTCCTCATTTTTTGATTTAGTTCCATCTGGTTTACTATCCAACAGCATCGTTGTACAGAAATAGGGTTGATCATGATCTGAAACCATAATAAAATGATATATCTAGTGAATTGATCTGTAAAATTTATATAATATAATGGAGCAACATCTAGTTCATAATAGTAGGTTTAAGTAAGTAACCTTTTTTAATATTTTATATAATTCAATTATCCCTTAATACCATATCTTTAAAAATTCACGCACTCATTACTAATGTTTTAATCAAGGAAAAAATACATTTTTTAGTTTAGTTTACATATATAACACAATGCTCTTATAATATACAAGTGAGGTGGTTTTATATTTGTCAGACTTTAAAACTGTACCAGTAAAATGGCCTATACTTTGAAAAGATGAGCTTTGATATACCAGGACTAAATTAGTGACAAGGGTGGAGCCCAGATCTATATTTTACGTAGTTTTAAGGTTACATAAAACATTATACCTTTAAATCGCGACTTCCAATACCTAACGTAAGCAGGCAAATCAGCAATTTGATTAACATCAGCAATGACCAAACGGTGCTCCATGAAAAAATGTGTTAGCATATCTTTTTCTGATTTCGGCAAGACGTACTTTTGCTCACAAAGAACGCAAGCACAATCTTCTGCTTCGTCTGACTTGAAGATACTAGGTTCCTCAACTTTTTGGTGCAAGGTAAGGGGACCGAAGAACTCCTTATCTAAAGCCATTTTAATACTTAACTCTATTACTTAATAAAACAATATAAAGACCAATATATTTTAAGGAATAACTTCTATGAGTTCAATGATTAAATCTGATCAAAACAAAACTCTGCATTTGACATTTGACATCTTTCACTGTTAACTGCCAAATGTTAATAACTTTTATGACGTACGAGTGACAGTTTCTACTAGACTGCGGGCATGAAGTGTTTCTAGTTAAATAAATTATAGCTTCCTACTTTTTATTAGTAGTAAAACAAAGAATAAAAGATTAAAACTGTGAATTTATGAATAAAGAAACTTAACTTAGAAAATCATTTATTCAAAATGTTATAAGTCAATCACATTATGATAAACCAACCATTACACTGTCTATATAGATAGTAGGAACTTACTATTTGTTCAAAAATTATAACGTAAATGCAATGAATATTAAATTTAAAACGATATTATTATTTTTATAGGCCTTAAAATACAAATATAAGGTAGGCGGTATGATACTAGCACTAGTAGTCTCGATAAAACTTTAAAATTTACATATTTTTATTAAACAAAATTATAATATTATAATTTTTAACCCTAATGCTTTTTATAAAGTTGTGAGTGATAATAATAATAATTTATACAAAATACACCTTTTTTATATAATATAACATAATTATCTTTTAAAAATACCTATCAAAAAAGTATTCCTAATATTAATTACTCATAATATAAATTTACGTATGAACTTTTTAAGTACAATCATGATTTAAATAATTATAAAACAATGTTTTACATAAATTTATAGACATGGCACTGATAAAGAAAATATAGAATTTAAGGTACTGTAACGTTATGTTAATTAGTATTGCTCCACCACACTTTTACTAAATACTGTAGGTACAGCTGTATGTTTACAACTTTACATAATATATATTTTTTACACGGCAACCTTCTTTAATTTTCATTACACTAAAGAACTAATACTGATTCACTAAAGCACTCACAAATAAATATTAATCTTTGCATGACGCGTTTGTGTCGGCATATAAAACTTTGTATGGAACAGAAGTGTCCTTATTGGCTGCTGTCACTTGAATGGCGTATTTACGTCCGGCTTTAAGGCCTCCTACCTTTTGTACGATTACCCTCGTTCTGTAAAAAAATAACTTTTAATACCGTTGTGAAGTAAATTAAAATAAAACATAATTGTTAAAACAAATCTTACGGTGTACGTTGCATATGGCTTACACATTGAAGTTTTGATGTAGATTTTTTTGATAGTGGACAAATAAACCCCTCGTTTTGTGAAGTTTCTCGCACCATTGTACAATATCTGTGGGACATACTAGTTTTTTTACTTTTGATATTAAAAATATTGTTATTAAACTGCTATAAATTCATAATCACCACACGTACCTAATAACATCTGTGGCATTGTGGTGAGCTGGAAGAAAAGCCACATCTACAGATTTGCAGGACCTTCTCGGTCGAAGTTCTCTAACAGTGGCGCCATCTGCCAAAATTTCCGGTGTGCTAAGACCCCATCGTGTTGTCGATGCTGTCAACTGTGAATGTCAATAATGTGTTACTTTGTAACATAAAAACTTGTCGAAATCCATTGTGTAACAATATTATTTTTATGATTTTTTTCGTTAAATATTTACCTCAACAGTCACAGAACCATCTCTATACCATCTGTTCGGCGTGACACGGACCACGTACCGTACTTTTGTTTCTTCGGAGCTTGAATCGAATTGTACCGAACCTTCGTCACTAGTTTCTTGGATAGAGGAACTGGGTATTGGTGCGGGGACAAAGAATTTAGAGTGTGGTTCTGAAAGAGTTTGTAGTTGTTAAAGTTCGTATCAAAAGTCTTTTGAATGCATACGTTTTTTTTAAACATAGGACGACGACGACTTGTCGTTAAAAATGCACGTAATATTTGGTTACTTGCAACACTGATATTATTAAATTCAATAACAGTACCACTTAGTATAATACTCTTTTGAAATAAAACAAAATAACTATAATTATTTTGCCAACGATCTTGATACTTTCTTATAGTAGATCTTGTAATAATCGTTAATTACCAATATCTTTGACCAAGTATAGGCGTTTCCCTTTAACGATAACTTCAACATCGACAGAACCGCCGCACGTAGTTACTGCGAGCCAAAGCCCGCCCCCGAATCCTATGCCCGCCTAAAAAGGTTAAATATTATATTATTCATAAAGTTAATAATAGATAATAATAGGTAAAATAATAGATAAATAAATCACTTATTAAAAAATGTAACTACAAATTGATTGTCCAAACAAAGACTTGACATTGACATGTCTCAATTCGAAATTATTCGATAAATAAGTAGTGGTGTATAATAGATTGAAAAGCGTTTAAATAAGACAAATAAAAATTACGGGGCTAGAAACTCACTTTAAAATAATACACACTCTTGCTTCTGATTTCCGATTTTAATGGTACATTTTCTCTCAGTCGCTTGGCAGTGGAAGTTCTAGGGCGAACGCTGCCAGTAGTTAGAAGCGATCCAACCCGACGGTCTCGTCCTATTCCGAAAACGCTTACAAAATACGTCTGTAACAAATATTGCTTAACTTAGTTACGACTTTTAAACAAATTAATTGTTATTATCATATCATTGTCTTTCGGGCTGTTCGGCCGAGGTGAGCGAGAAGAGGAGAGAAGAGGAAGAGGAGAACCTCTTCTCGCTCACATCGGCCGAACGGCCCGAAAGACAATGATATGCTGAACGATGGCCGTGAAAGCCTTACACAATTAATTGTTATTATGTTACGTTTTATATTCTTGTTAATATAAAGTTACAAATCCAAAGTTTATTTGTAAGTTTATAAAATTAAGCCAATATATACAAAAAGAAGGTATGAAAAATAAGATACTTTTTGGTTCAACCAACAACGTCCCAAAGTACCTAAAAATCTCCACTCTCATAGGTAAAGCAAAAAAATGTTGTCTACAGTCAATAAGACAGTATAATTTGTAATACAATAAGTATGTATAATCTATACTAATATTATAAATGCGGAAGTAACTCTGTCTGTCTGTCTATCCGGCTCTAACTCCGAAACTACTAGACTGATTTAAATGAAATTTGGTACACAGATATTTTAGAGCCTGAGAAAGGCCATTTCATGCCAAAAAAGAGTTGATAGGGGTTGAAAAAGGGGAAGAAATTTTGTATTATATTGTGGAAATTCGTGGTTTTTGAAGCTAGAACAATGAATCTTTCTTCTTTGGCTTTTTGGGAATAGGAGTGGGAGTGGGAGTGAGAGTGATAGTGTGAGTGAGTGTGGGAATTAGAGTGGGTGTTAGAGTAGGAGTGATGTGAGGTGAGAGTGTTGCGGCAAAGTAGCATTTACAACATAGATTGGCTGCTTTCAATGCACATTACATTAAAATTCCAAGCGGACGAAGTCGCGGGCACAGTATTCAATAACTTTAATAGAGGCGGTTAGTTAGTATATTATATAGTATTGAAATATGCTTATCAACATACCATGCTTGGATCTAAATTTTCTATCAAATGATGAGTTCTATCACCAACACAAGCAATGACTGGATCTTCATTTGATATTCTTGTGCTTCGACCTAAGAAGATTACCACAATGTTATTAAAACTTGCTATTTCAAGAAAAGAAACGATATTTTCTTTATTGGTCGATGTAACAATTTTCTTCCATACCAAATTTCTTCCTCCGAAACACGCTTTTGAAATTTCCCTCGAAGATGTTAAATCTGTCAATGTCCATTTCAATTGAATTCCCTATTTCCCTCGTGCTATTATAACGACGGCGCTGACGACTTGTTTCGTTCGACATTTCCTCAACACGGGGTCTATTCGCACATATACTGGTGTCAAATTGGGCAGCACAAAGCGATGTATAATTCTTTCTGTGTGAAGCCACCACGCAATATGACGTCATTTGAGGGTCTATTGGGCTGAAAAATTAAATACTCAATATATTTAAAATCAAAATATTGCCCTATCTTGTCTTACAAAATACTTATATATATAAAACGCGCTATATGTATATTAGTGGAACTTATTTGTAAAATATTTTAACTACGGCCCGACGTTTCGGATGCTTTGCAGCAGCCGTGGTCAGGGGGAGACTAAAGATGGACGGTGTGTGTCTCTGACGTCAAAGTAAAAAACTGGTACGCTAGCGCCATCTGTTCCGTCGTTAGTTCGAAACTGGCAGTATGCGAGTTTTAAACCGTTAAAGTGTTATTTCAATGTGTATCACTCGCGTAAACTACGTGTTTAAATATATAATATTGTTTGTATCCATTGCATTCAAATAAAATATTTTCATTATAACTTTTACATTAAGTGAGTGATTAAGTTAAAAAACCATCCATAGACAACTTAGTGAATGATTTCTGTTATGCAAAACCATACGACGTAATATACTTAGCGGTTACTGCATTAGTAATCTTGGCTGTGACTAATCCAAAAAAAGGCTTAATTATCAAATTAACAGTACTATCGTAATGCTGTATAGGAATTTCGTCAATCCTATTGAATTACATTAATGGTAAGATGATTCTTCCACTTATAGCTTGCTACTATTTAGTTGAAAAAGTTGCTTTAATCGAAGGCTATATTTTTAGCGATAGACATCCTATTAGATATATATATCGTGGATCTTGTGTCGATACATCCATTTTGAAATATATAGCAGGATTTTGGGTAGGTTATAAAAACTTTAGGTCGGAACGTAACGTTTAGTTGCTTGGGAGTAATTAAACACTATTGCGAACATATTATATATGATATTTCCATCATAGGAAGCCTGAGTACCTGTTGTGAACTCTTAAAGGGCTGATGAAGCTTATTTAGCCACTGAAATACTTTAGCAAGAACCTATTGACGGCAAACGGTAAATAATAGATCCTTAGTATTCCTTATTAAGTGCCGCTCGTAAGTGCGAGAATCGAGACAATCTATTAAATTGTAATTGTCATAATGGCCATATCCAGCGCAAACACCTCAAGACACTGGGGATAATTGTTACAATTAATAACGACAAATTAGACGATAGGTATTTAAATGGTAGAAAAACACAACCGCGAAAGGAATTATTGTCAGTCTAGTCGACGCAATATTTATCGAACAGTTAAATGGTGGAAAAAGTCGCACGTGTTGGGAATAGTCACCCATCGGGTCCAGTTAGGTATATTATGGTTGAGTTATCACTCAAGTTGGAAGCGGCATCCTTGTCGCAGCAAGAACTTAGCTATTAAATTAATTAATAATTATTTTGCTCGAATATGGCAATCTTTTTTGAATTCCGCAGCGGATATTGTAATACAATGTTAACGATGACTAAATACACGGACTATTTTGCATAAGGCGAGCTGCTTATAATACAGTCGTTATGGCCATATAATTTTTACGGTGTTTTCAAATTGCTTACAAGATAAAATTGTATGGAATGGACGCGAGCCTATGCTATGATGAGAAGGAATTTTTATTATATTGTATATGTAGACAGAGGTGAGTATCTTATATTATCTATACCAATATTATAATGCTGACGAGTTTGTTCATTTGAACACGCTAATCTCACGAAGTACTGGTTCGAATTGAAAAAATATTATTGTGTTGGTTTAAACATTTAACGAGAGCTTGAAGGTTGTCACAGCCTTCAAGCTCACTAGCGAGCGAAGAAAATGAGGGAAATGTGGAAAAAACGAGGTATAATATTCATATGTGAGGGTACTCGTTGTGTCCGCTCCGAAAACGGCTCTAGATACAAAAAAAAAATATGTACGAAAGAATCATTCTTTTTAAATCCAAAAAATAGGTATTAATTTGTTGAAATACTTCATTTGGCGAACCTACGGTCGCCAGGTCAGCGTGTATCTTATACTTGAGTATCTATGCTTTATTAATAAGGAAATATAAAAAAGTTTGTATCTATAATGTGTGTGGAAGTGTTCGTTGAATGATATAAAAAAACGGTGACAGTTGTTTTATGTTTATCTGTATATCTTACTTTGAATGTAGGTTGTTAAAAATTTAAATTGATTGAGTTTTAATGTAGAAAAAAATTACAATCTTGTCTATGCGTGGAGAATATATACTAAATATAAAATTTTATTACACTTAGTTCTATGAATTATCTGTGCAAGCGAACCAAGATTCTTCCTCTTTTTGTTTCTGAACCTTCTGGAATCCGCGATAGCCTTTTATCGCTGCACCCTGTTACAATCGAGTCAATGTTGCTCGCAATTTAAAATCGAGTATCGATCATAATTATTGAGGCAACGCAGGTAAGCACGCGTGGATAAACCTTTTATCTACTTTTCAAAAGATAATTAACGTAAGACATTAATTCTTATATCGACCGTATAAAATACATCGGTGCATAACTCGTATTGAAATATTTCCACTAGTTACATTACGCGGTGTTGCCTGTTTTAAGGAATTTATATCAATGAGTCGATTCTCTGGAATTTGTACTGCAAAAATATTTGTTAAAGAAGCTACACATGGTTGCCTATGTAGGTTTTTAATGCATCAGCTATACCTCTATGTCATGAATTTAAAATCCGTAATCAAAAGTTTGAGTCAATCACAACTTTAATTTTTAATATTAAGCATTTCAGGATTATCGTATTACTTATGTTTATAATTTAAATGATATACATAACTCTTATACAGTTTTTATTGGAATTATAACACTATAATTGTTTTGTAATTTCCTCGAAAAATATTTTTAATGATAATTAAATCAAATGCATATTTTGAGCTTTAATTATTACTGGCAACACAGAACAGAAGCGTAAAATCGATTAATTCCCTACATGCTCTTTTACAAAAAGTTGAAGGGATCAAGCTTGCCTTTATTCTTTATTCTATTTATGCGTTCCATTATAGTTGATTCACTACAAATAGTTGGAATCGCAATGACAATTTAAAACCACACGTTGGGAATCGAAATGTTGTTAATTAGCTCAGCGATGGTGTCGATAACGATATTATATTGGCATTCGGTTTTTGTATCTGTGGACCCGCCAAAATTCTCATTGTCTTATGAAGCCGATGGCGGGAAAAGTAATGGACGCACAGAATAAGAAAATAATTTATATAATCTGTACTTAAATGGATATATAAAGATTACCTAATATTAAAGTAATAAATAAATAACATTATAAATGATCATCAACGTAAGTTATATAAAATATGTTTTTGTTTTATAACGTAAGGTATCCTAAGTATAATTATTCTAATTAGAGAGGAATATATAAATTTAAATTTTATTTAAAAAAATAACAAGCACTTGAGTTATCATATAAGCCATTGATGGATGCACATCTCGCATTCTTCTTTAATTTAATCTAAATATTTATTCAATTTATATAATTCCATCGAGTGCAAAACAAAACATGTAAGTAATAACATATGTAGTTTTCAGATATTTTATTATTTTTTATTCCGGACATTTATGTTAATGGCCAGAATGCAATTTTGAAATTACGATTAGATCGAAAGACACGTCCATAACAAGCAATCTGTAAGTATCGTTTATTACTCAAGAATGCGCGGAATGCAACACTTTAACCACGTACTTACTCCTTGATACAATGTTGTCAAAATGCGGGGACAATCAATGGTTAGCCTTACGAGTGGGTAATTACAATTTATTTGCCCATCAATCATCTTGTAATGAAGAAATGTACTTATTAATACGTGTCAATTATAAATCGGCTTTAGTTATTAGCGATTAATATCGTTGAGAAACCTTACCTAACATTTCAGCACGTTTATATTTAATATTTATAAATTCAAATATATTGGACTATGTATTTCCAGTTTTATAGTATTCTACTGTATTTTTTTGTTATAGGAATTTTTAAAATCTATAATATTTCTGTATCAATACTGATACATAAAGCTGAAGAGTTTGTTTGAAAGCGCTAATCTCAGACTAACTTCTCAACTACTAATGTTTAAGATCAAATTATCACAAGCTCACTATGAGCTTTCTTGGTCTCTTGTGGTCTTGGTGGATTTTGTGGAACTAGTTGTCGTACAATTTATTGATTCCACCGAAGTTTTTTTTTTAATATGTGCCTCCGAGTACGGTAGATTGAATTTTTTATGCAGACGTTTTGTGACCTGCATTTATTTAGATGAACCTCATCAATGCAGTTTTGGCATCTGTTAACCAAATTAAGTGGCCAATATCGTAATGTTAACACGTCTTGAGCAATTATTGGCCAAATAGGGCGTGTATTGGCCATTGGCCGTATTTACAGAAAGCTTGCTCGGAATAACCATCGCGTGTTAGATTTTATAAGGTAGACGTGTGTTCACAGGCTTTTTAATCTTTTCGATAAAATTAATGGGAAATTTAATTAGACAGTAAATGATAAGTAGCTAAATGTTACATATCTTAAACAACACATATTTATAATATTGACAGAGTAAATTAGTAGAACATAGAATTTAAAAACTTAGAATAATGCTTCAAAATTTATAACTGTCTGAATCCTTTAGTCAAATGAGTAGAGAAATTACTTCTAAAACGTGCAGATTTAAAAAGTTGTAGAATATTATTTTCTAAATAATAGTATGCGGTTTTTTTTTGTGTTGTTATGCATTTTTACATGTTCCAATTAAAAAATGTAATATTTTTCATTTATTTTTAATTAGTTTTTTATTTACATGTACTTGGTATATCGTTTTAAACAACTTACACTGTTACATTTTGATTTTATGTTTAAAATCATATCAGGGGATCATAATAGGGAAATAAAATATCAATGTAAACGGACCCTTATTAAGTCATATCGTGTCCGTGTATGGAATATCATAAATTCATCTACACATGTGACGAACAAGGGACAGCGTGGATTTATGGTTTGTGAGAGTATAGCGGTAACTTGACGGCTTTTTATGCACTTGTCCAGTTATGATATGAATTAAGTATGCTAGTTTTCAAGAAAATCCCGCGGATTCGAGTTTTCTAGTTGGACTTGATATAGTACAAGCGAGATGATATTGTTGAACAATAAAAAATAAGGCTAAAATCGTCTTCAATACGTCAAACATAGAACATAGGCACATTCTTAAATTAACTTTGATAAATTGTTTCGATCCTGTTTTGAAGAAAGATAAAAAGTAATAATACATTTTATTCATTATATTTTTACATTTCCCGCCTTTTCTTGCAACAGTCAATACCATAATTTTATAAAATACCTTATATACAACTTATTAAAATTTTCATTTGATATTAAAACCCCATTTCAATCTATGTATGTCTGTGTTTATTGCTACAATAATTTAAAAAAAAACTTTAGAAAAAAGAATTGACATTTTTTTTTCTAAAAAAAATAATTACCTCGGATCCCAGTTAGCTGACAGCCTCCGTCTCGATCTTGTCCGAAGTCGCATGCGCACCAAACGAGGAGCTTCGCCCCTAACGCTCACAGCTACGGCACCGCCTTTCGAGGAAAACAGCTGAAATAAAACAATAAGACCTTATAAACTGAATTGAAAATTTTTCAATGAATGCATATAATCAGCAAAAATGATCAATGCATCATAGATTAAATACAAATTTACAAATTCTCATAAACAAACAGTAAATTCTCTTTGGTTTCCTAGAAAAAATCAACGGTATTTTTTAAAATTGAAATTTGATAAAACACTAACGGTTTAAAACACGATATATATTAGACCCGACGTTACGGATGCTTTGTAGCAGCCCAGGGTCACGGGCAGTCACGGCTGCTGCAAAGAAGCTATATATACCTTCTTTTATATATCGCGTTTTACACCGTTAAAGTGTTATTTTAATGTAGGACTCATTACTAGAAACAGTACATAATACTTTGATTGATATTATTTGCTTAGAATACCTGCAATACATATCGTTCCTCATTGGCGATGACAGCTGACATTGTGCTCATCTGCTCACCTCCGCTACTGTCTTGGAGGAGGTCTAACTGATCTGTAAATAATATTTTTAATTGATTCTTAAGGCTTATTAACTACATACTTATACAAACTAGCACATACGTTTTTAACTTACATAGCATAGCAATCAATTGCGTTTGTGTAAAATAAAGTGTGACTTTTATTTCATTACGTATTTAAAAATACTGCATATTTGTTTTATATCACGTCCTAGGTACTTATAAATTTCTTCCCAAATATACAGTGCAACCTGGTTAAGTGGGACCTCGATAAAAGAAAAACTATTATTTCAAGTTGCACAGAGATCCTCGTTCTTTTTCATTAAACTACGTCTATTAATGGAAACTTTTAAGCCTGGTTAAAAGAGATTATATCTGTCTCACTCTTTTAACGGTTACCTCTATATTTAAGACTCTGTAGCTGTTACTTGTATATGTGAGACAAATCAATTATTAAAACATTATAACATGTTTGTTTACAAACAAACGCGGCGGCTGTATCAAAAATTATAATTTTAATGCTTGAAAACTTTAATATTTTTTTTAATGTTATCACACATGACGGCACTATATAATTTAAAAATCGAAATTAAATTGAAAAATTTTTCGACTCGGGCAGGACTTGAACCGGCATCGTCTGCTTTCCGTGCTGTTGCTCTGACGGTTTTAATGCTGCCTATTTGCAAACTCTCAATAACTGAGTACGTCTCGGTCCCTTGAGATCCCATTTTACCAGGTCTTACTTTAATTTAAAAATAAATTATTTTTCTTTTTATTTTACACGATTTTAAATTTGTGATGCTATTGGTCCTTTGATCCATAATAAAAACAATAAATCCCTAACTTAAGTTAACTTACCATCAGAACTTCGAGCCCTGCCCCTATACAAAGCCCAATGGATGTTTCTGGAGCACAAACTCACTGTGATGTACACTGTTGACTGCGTTAGAAATGTTGTATTTAATTCGAGACTGAAACAAAGGTTACAAATATTTTGAAACCGTTGTTATTTAATTATAGTTGTAAAACCAATAATTATATGTGCAGAAGAAAGACGAAGATGTTGTGTTTTGGAAAAGACCAATATTACTTATTCCTCGGATATTTCACGTTTATGTAACTATAACGTAATAACTTATTTAAAATGTATTATTATCACGGCTGTTGTAAAGCATCCACAATGTCGGGCCGTAGTTGAAAGTCAACTGTAAGTTATTGCGCGTTTTAAACAGTTTTGTGTTTAATTTAAATGCATTTAAAAATTTACTACTCGCTTAAATAACGATCAATACTTCATTCATACTAATACCATATATACACAGAATTTTGACGAATCTACTTTATTTGCCGAAAAAAATAGGACTTGTATGAAAATTATAAAACTTTAACATTTTAGTCACAGCTAAAACTTCGGACTATTAAGTTTTATAGAAATTATTGTTGAATGTCATTTGTTTTAAGTAAAAATCTTTTTTTTGAAAACAGTAAATACTTTGTAATAGTGACATCGAACATTTATAGTTATAGCAAGGGGTCTAAGTAAATATTGTTTTTGCACCACACAAAGCAATTTTGTCCCAAATGTTTACGACGTTTGTTGGGGAAATGAAAAATGGACTGCCTATTGTTTATTGAGGGTTCCGATATAAAACTAAAGCAAACATTTAGACATCTTTGCGGGAAATAAATATATGTCAAGAATTTTATACTTGTTGGAAGAGGTGAAGTATACTTGTGACGGATATAAAAAAATTTAAAAAGAAGGATGTATAGAGGAATGTCACTTTGTGCTTAGATATAATCTTATCGCATAAGTTATTATTTTGTTTTTTAAGTGTACTTTAGAAGCGGCCACTGAAAATCAGAGTGCAGATGCAACATAACTTTATATTGAGTGGCTTCTGTTTTAAGAGTAGCCATTGTTAAAATTTAAGCCTAATATATTTTGTCTAAGTAATCAAATTATTTTAGATCATAGTTTGTTCTTTATGTTTATTAAAAAATACTTTTATTATTATATCTTCAGATGAATATCTAAATAGTATATAGAGAGATTTTTCTCACCAAACTTTACAAGCACTAGAATAACACGTAAATAATAGCCAATTTTGTAATTTGTGTTCTCTGTAAGTCACTTATCATTTAAATCGAATTTCTAATTTTAAGATTATGTCACCTAAAATAAGAATATCACCTACTTAAGAATTGCTTTTTTAAGAAACTTACTTTCTAGTTTCACCCTCATCTAGTCTATAAACTGTTTGGTTGTCCATAGGCAGCCACTCCACTGCCCTGGATATCGGTCTGGTGACGAGCACACTTGGTGCAGCGAAGCCAGCCCCTGCTGCTTGAAGGACGATCAGTGTGACTACTCTTACTGTCAGGCGTTTGATGCTTCTGAAATGCAAGTATAAAGTAACTTTGTATTGTAATTTTAAATCGGTCATGTATAACAAACTATTATTACGTTTTTTTTAGGGAGGTAGAGTGTGCTGAATAGAGGACCTCATACCTATAATGTAACATTGCTCTAAATAACTGAGCTATCGTGTCTCCAAAATATTTAATTATTATTTATATTGGCATGTACAAATTAATTTATATGAAAATGATTACTTATTATTTAAAACTAGTCTGAACAGTTTTAAACAACTTTTATACTTATATTGTTGTTTTTGTGAGTAATATTGCTTAATATCATCATACTATCTATAGTTGTCTCCCCGTGACCACGGCTGCTGCAAAGCATCCGAAACGTCGGGCCGAAGTAAAGAATCATTTTCAAATAAGTTTAACTAACATATCGCGTTTTAAACCGTTAAAGTGTTTTATTTAATATCATCATGCTTGGAGTTTGAAGGAACCCGCTCTAACAAGAAAACATATTTTGTAGTGTGCCTAAAGTACATGAAGAGTGCAAATTAAACTAGGTGACAAATGGAGTGGCGGCGAGTTTCTTGCCAATTCTACTCGTTCGGATTTGAGAACTGGTTGTAAATGTAAATGTAGTCTTTAGTTTTTAACTTGTGTGACGTTTATAGGTGTACCTAGTTACCCACGTGAATAAATAATTTTGACTTTGACTTTGAATTGGCTGAAATGAACTTAAATCGTCCAGTGGTTTTTACGGAACTAATATATCGCGCTTCAATCCGTTAAATGTTTTAACTTCAATGAACTTCAACTATAAAGAAAAGTCTCAATACAAGTACGTCCGTTGCTTCTTAAATGCCAAGAAAGTTCACCGAAGCATCTTTTTAGGCATTATTTTTTATTATTTAATGATAAGACGCCGATAAAAGGCTATGGAGGCCAACACTTGAAGCGAACCTAGTATAGAACATCGTAGATCTCCAATACTATTGACCTCAAAAAAATGTAAATTTTCTGCTCGATGCTTTAATAATGAATAAGTTAGTTTCTAGGTCTTATTTTATCTGAAAAAAAAACTAACCTAGCGACAGGCCACTACAGATTAGCATAGAAACTGTATTCGTAATTCAAGCACTTGATCGGCGTATATATAACTGAATTAATCTTGAAGTTCTTCAAGTGATACCTTCTTACGGATTGCTTATCCACTTCGTTACGTAACGCGTTATGGCGACAGTCAACTATCAAATAAAATGGTTAAATTTTATTAAAAATCACCTCTGGCGGACCAAGACCCTCCTATAAGTATGTTTAATTCCTATTATTTTGCTTCGTTCTACCAGCTGTGAATCGAAATAGTCTTTGAAGATTTATTTTTTAAGTTATCACTTTAAAGAATATTATTATAAATTGTCATTGTTTACTTAATCCTTTTTTATTTGATAAAGTAAATTCTATTTACGAAATTTAATTAATACACATTTGATAGTTTAAGAAGTCAAATATATTTGTGAACTTATTTTTAAATTACTTAAATTTTGTAGTTAAAGTCGTAATTGCTGTGGATGACGTCCACATCATTGTATTTCATGTAATTTTTCTTTTAAAATGTGTACTATTGCATAGACGTTAGAAGATGACGTACTTTTTTATATGTAACATGATATTAAGTTTAACAGAAATAAGAAATAATTGTTATTTACTAATTTGTATAAATATGAAAGCTAGAAGATCATATAATATGCACACTTATTATTTTTTAGAATGCGTGCATATTATTATTACTTGTCATGAGAAAACCGGATTAATTAAAATTAATTAACCACTTGTATACGACCTCTTGTATATGACCTTTAGTCATTAATGATAACTATAATTCTTAAAACACACTATAATTATGATATTTAATAACAAATTGTATTACCTATACTAATATTATAAAGCTGAAGAGTTTGTTTGTTTGTGTGTCATGGACTGGTTGTGGTAAATGATGTAAAATCCAAATGATTCCCAAAAGTTTAACTTGGACAAAGTCGCGGGCGCAGTAAGTAAATATTATATTTAGTCCACCGCACAGTACTTTATATCAATGACCGTATAAAAAGCTGTGAGTAATACCTCGATAGCCTTCTATAACATAAACTTTAATCTGTGGTTTCATGATACAATGTATGGAATTGTTTACACGGAAATTCCTCAATAGTTTTATTGGTAGTAAAATTTTATTTTATCAATGAAATATGCGATTTAGTGTATAATTAATTTTTTAGCCGTTGGTATGTCCCACAGCTGGGTTCGTCTCTCGTTGGAACAGGATTTAAAAAGAAGTAGTGCAAGTATTAAGGGGATTTTATATATATATTTTTTAATGAGAGAGGATGACAGACAGGCATGGGTAAAATTTTGCCATCATGTGAAAAATATGAAAACTTTTCAAACTATAATACTCTTTTTCAGTAGGTAAAGTATGTAAGAATACATCAAAGCCCTTTTCGATAGCCCAAACTTTAAACAAGATTCAAACCTTTATTCTATCCCGACGGTATCAATTTTAAAACTTCCATTATCCTGTTACGGTACCTCTGTTTGAATAGACAATTGTCGAGTCATTTGCGGCCATAAAACTTAGAATGAGATGATATTTCTGATACCTGTCTGTCGTTATATCAAATTAACATTAGTGGTTTTATCTAGAAGTTAGAAACATATCACCAATATGAAGGTATTTTTTTTTTCAATTATTATCTATACTAATGTTATAAAGCCGAAGTGTTTATTCGTTTGTTTGTTTGTTTGAATGCGCTAACGCAGAAAGTAGTGGTCCTACAAGTGATAAGGCAAAATACACTGTGCACGAGGTACATGTTGGTATAGGTTGAAAATTTTCGACGATGACGTGTATGACACGGTAGCTCAATTGGTTAGAGCAACAGCACAGAACGCTGTAGATGCCGGTTCAAGTCCTACCTCTGTCGTTAATCTATTAAATCGTGTTCGTTTTACTAATAGATCTTTTTTACAGGGAAGCCTGCCCTGCTGAACCAGGGTTTCGATTTAGAACCACTCGCACTTAACACAATGCTTTAAACCATTGAGCCATGGAGAATTATTTAGATTTAAATAAAACACTGTAACGGTTTAAAACGCGATATATTAGCTTATATAATATTAACTTATTTGAAAATGATTTTTAACTTCAGCCCGACGTTTCGGATACTTTGCAGCAGCCGTAGTCACGGAGAAATCATTTTCAAATAAGTTCGGCTTATATATCGCGTTTTAAACCATTAAGGTGTTTTGTTTAAATGTGTACTACTCGCGTAAACTATAGACAGTATTTAATTATTTTGATCCTTAACTTATCCTTAAGCTATATTTCCAAGCACAGTCAAAAATACTAATCGAAGCAGGCGAAACCGCGAACGCATATCGCGCCGTGGTATAACATCGTTAATGTATTTTTAAAGTTCACACAACCACGTACTCACTTCAATAAGCGCATATGGCGAAATAATCATAAATTAGCCTTCCTACCACAAGGGCTCATTGTTTATAAGCCTTAAGCTTTCCGCGGGTCAAATATATGCACACGAAAATAGCCTCCATTGTGTTAAAAATAAGTGACAGAAACGCGCGTAAGCTTCGAAGTTATTACGTATTCTTTTGCTGCTGACGATAAATCTCGGAGTAGTTATAATATGTAGTAAATTTCTTAATGATTTACTGTTTGCGATACTTATTCCACTGCTATTCGAGGATTTTGTCGGCTTTTTAACTATTACATTTACTATTATCACCATTTCGCATTACATTAAGTAAGTCAATTTTTACTGTATTACACAATAAATATAAACATAGTTGAGTGAAGTTCTTAAAATTATACTATTTAAAATCAATAGTTAATAATATTTTTTATCACAGAGAAGGACATGCAATACCCCAGCGGTGTAACCTCTCCGAGAGATTCTTTGTTGACCTATTTTGGCTTTGGATATTCGGAAATTCACAGATATAAAATGATACGCGATTAAATTTGACCTGTGGACGGTGGTTTGTTACCTGAATGGAATTTCGATATTCCTACCACCCATTGTTTATCCAGATTTCCAGATGAGGTCCAACATGTTAAAAAATAATAGTTAATTAAAAACATGTTGACCCGTTATTTGAACAAGCCCCCCCCAAGCATATGAGACGGATCCATCCAACTTTGCTTTATCAAATTGACCTACCAAGTTCTTTTGCGGTTATTGTAATTTCTTTATCCTTATATACATACATCTTTCGTGCAAGTTGTATTCGAAATACGGTCTGTAGTTTACGAGTACTACACAATTAAATAAAACACTTTAACGGTCCAAAACGCGTTATATATTAGTTAAACTTATTTGAAAGTTATTTTAACTACGGCCCTATGTATCGGAGCCGTGGTCACAGGGAGACTGTGTCAGGCAGTAGTTACTAATATATATCGCGTTTAACACCGTTAAAGTGTTTTATTTAAAAGTTGTATTTTATTAAATTGTTCATTTCAATAATCGAAATTCTTTCCTGGCAAAATCTCAAATCGATTTAGTTGACTACTAGCGACGTCGCACAAAGACGTGTGCTCGCCAGTTGCGAAAAATTTCTACAAGTTTGCTCTTTTCAATCGTGACGACGTTGACATTTAGACGTCTTTTATCACTGGCAACATTCTCGGGCTCGTGAAATAAATCCTGCTCCAGATTCAATTGATAGCGCGTTTATCATTGCTTCATTTGAATGGACAAGTCGTATATTATGTAATTAAACTAAATACATTACACAAAATAATTTTATTGTAATATTACCTAATATAGACTTGTTTTTTCGACTATATATGTGATAACTATAATGTGTACTACAATAATTCAACAGTTTTTAAAATTTAAATTAAATTTATCTCTAAAACTACGTTTCCTAGCATTGCGTTAAGTGCAGGAAGAAGAAGTACTGTATAATGTACCTAGTGACATACACTGATAATATTTATTACAAATAAAAATCTCGTTAAAAAGTACTTAAAATGTAGTATTAAAATTTAGTTTATTAACAATATGGATATTGTGCCCTGACATCTTAATGATAAAGACACATCTCACGAATGTCAGATGAAGTGAAAATTTGCGGAA